GGGAGGACGCCCGCCACAAAGGCTTCGGGGCGATCCTCCCACTCCGCGCCGGCATCGGGGCACGCCACTGCTGAGCGGCCCCGGGAGCGTTCAAAACAGCCGGCACGGCAAGAAAAGCCGGCGCCGAAGCAAACCGCGGTGCCGCTTCAAACAGCGGCACCGCTTTCAACTGCACAGCCTTCCGTGGCGCCGAAAGCCACAGCGATCCTTAAAGCTACGGTGCCGACTAAAACCACGGCACCGCAGCAGAGTGACCCACAGCCCAAACGCCCGGCACCACCTCCAGATAAGCAGCAGGATGCTGCACTAACGCTGCCAGGGCAAACTGACAGGCAGCCAGACGACACTGCTATGGAGCAGAGCCAGCAAGAAGCTCTCTCACACAGCAGTCTTTCTGCTCAGTGTCTGCCTTCCACATCCTACTCACCTGGGAAGTCCCTATCACGGCTATCCCCTCCCAGGTCTACACCAATCTTATCCGGCCGAGACGCTCCCCTTCTTGAGGATGATCACCACACATCTTATTCCTCGAGGCACCCATCACCTAGGCAATCTCGCTTTTATGACTACGGAGCCCCACCACAACAGAACCCATGGCACCCGTACTGGCCTTACCCACCCCCACCTTATCCACAATGGGGACCCTGGGAACACTGGGAATCACGTGGACAACGCTCCCCAATTCACTCCACTCCATCCCAGAGAAGCTTATCTCGGCCGCAGTCCCTACCTCCAGCAATTCTTTCGGATGAGGAGGTAGACCGAATCTCTGACAATGAATCAGACACTCATTCAATAAATGTTACACATTCTGATGCTCCCAATACACAATCAGATGAAGCCGTAGTACCATCAGATTCTGCACCAATTGATGACCTAAAACAGTTCCAGGATCTATTCAAGAGGGTAGCAACAAGCCAGAATGTTTCCCTGCAAGAGGTCCAGAAGAAACAGTACCAATTGCTAAAAAATCTCCATCCTACATTACATAGCAAGATTGCCCTGCCTATAGACGAGGCAATAATGGAGACCTCGGAAGACCTCTGGAAAACACCTGCATCCATTCAACCAACCAATAAGAGAATCAACAGGAAGTACTTTGTCCCATCAAAAGACAACGACTTTCTCTTTGCACACCCACAACCTAATTCATTAGTCGTAGACTCAGCACAACAACGTGCAAAGCTCCTACAATACAAGTTGGGCAACGCAGACAAGGACCACAAAAAGCTGGACTCCTTTGGCAAGAAGGTATACTCCTCTTCCACCCTACAACTCAGAATATCGAACTACTCAGCTCTTTTAGTAAATCATGACTTTGACAATTACTCAAAACTGGGAGAACTGGTGCCACATCTCCCTGAGTCCAAAAGATCCATCTTGAAAACAACAGTTCATGAGGGCCATATGATCGCCCGCACCGCTCTCCAAACCGCAATGGATGTTGCTGACACCGCAGGCCGAACTACAGCTACAGCGGTGGTCATGCGTAGAACTTCTTGGCTCCAGTCGTCAGGAGTTCCCCGCGAACTCCAGCCTAACGGACAACATCTGCACGATGTTCTACATAAACAGACAGGGTGGAGCCCGCTCCCGCTCCTTATGCGCAGAGGCTATTCGCCTGTGGAACTCGTGCATCCGCAACCAAGTCACCCTTATAGCATCCTACTTGCCCGGAGTGGACTCCCTCAGCCGAAACTTCACCTCGGACCACGAATGGGAGTTACATACGGAGGTGACGAACTCAATTTTCCACCAGTGGGGATGGCCATTGATAGAACTCTTTGCTTCTACCCAGAACACCAAATGCCCCCAATTCTGCTCATGAGTGAGACTTGGCAAACACTCTTTGGGGGATGCCTTCCTGATCAAATGGACAGCCCCCCTACACTACGCCTTTCCTCCCATACCGCTCATCCCAAGAGTCCTGCGCAAGATCCTGAGACACAAAGCCCTAGTCATCCTGATTGCGCCATCATGGTCTCGCCAAACCTGGTACCCATTCCTTCACAGGCTAGCGGTCCAGCCTCCCTACCCACTACCGTACCGGATAGACCTACTATCTCAGGACAACGGCAAGATATTGCATCCACAACTCAATACCCTGCATCTTCAGGCATGGCTTTTCTCTGGTTCTCGGAGGTAGAAGATCGCTGCTCCCAGCGAGTAAAAGACATCCTCCTCCACAGCAGGACACAGTCTACTCGGAAAACTTACCAACAGAAATGGACACGTTTCTGTCACTGGTGTCAGCGAGCCAAAGTGGAGCTCCGTGTCTCACCACTAGATAGCATCCTAGACTACATTCTGGACCTTAAAGCATCAGGACTCTCAATCTCCTCCCTAAGAGTACACCTCTCTGCAATAGCAGCATTTCATACGTCAGTAGATGGCTTCTCCATTTGTAACCAAGGGACTCCAGAATGTGTACCCACCACATAGGGCTCCACCCCCTTTGTGGGACCTAAATCTTGTTTTGAACTGCCTCACCAGACCTCCCTTTGAGCCACTGGCAACAGTGCCACTTCCTTTCCTTTTTATGAAGGTCTGTTTCCTCTTAGCCATCACCTCAGTCAGGAGGGTGAGCGAACTCGGAGCATTAATGTCAGAGCCTCCTTACACAGTTTTCCCAAAGGATAGGGTCATACTTAGACCCCACCCTACATTTTTGCCAAAGGTTTGTACAGAATTCCATCTCAACGATCCGATCGTGTTACTTTCCCCAAAACTGCATTCTTCGCAGACAGCCGCCAGCCTGCACACTCTGGACATCTGGAGGGCCCTGGCCTTCTTCCTAGGAAGAACAAAACCATTTTGTAAATCTGAAAGACTTTTTATCTCCATTGCTGAACGATCCAAAGGGACACCAATATCATTGCAACGAATCTCAAAGTGGATATCGACATGTATAATCAAATGCCACTCTCTGGGCAATAGACCACTACTATGCCCACCACGAATGCATTCTACTCAAGCCACGGCTGCTTCAACAGCCTTTCTGGGCAATGTCCCCTTAAGAGACATTTACCAGGCAGCAACATGGTCTTCAGATCATACCTTTGCTAAACATTACGCTATTCTTCCACAACTTAAGAGTGACTCAGCAGTTGCCACGGCAGTGCTCTCCACCCCTGCCAAACACTGACTCCGGCTCCCTCCAACCATATACTGGATACTGCTTTGTAGTCACCTACAGTGGAGCACCCACGGGGACACTACTCGAAGAAGAAAAGGGAGTTACTCACCTTGTGCAGTAACGAGTGTTCTTCGAGATATGTGTCCCTGTGGGTGCTCCACGACCCTCCCTGCCTCCCCTCTGCTCGGAGTCGAAATTGCTCGGGCGGAGACGAGGAACTGAAAGAGAGGGGGTTGAGTCACGCTCCTCAGGAGGCGGGAAGGGCTCGAGACACCTCCTGGGCATGCGTGGCTCAACAGGGGAAACTGCTATACAAAGCTCCGATCTGAGGCTCAGGGCGACTCTCTACCTACAGTGGAGCACCCACGGGGACACCCATCTCGAAAAACACTCGTTACTGCACAAGGTGAGTAACTCCCTTTTTTGTTTTGATAATAAAAAATTGGGAGGTGGGGGTTGCTAATTAACCAGAATTGGTTGATAGTTGTGTCCTTAGGACTCAATGCCTAGTTACAAGGGCAGAGTCCATCGTTGCCTGTGGATTCCCTCTGGTTTTCCCAACTCCAAGCAAAACAGGTTGGGGCGGCGGGGGGAGTGTTTTACCTTTAGGGAGGGAATTTCCCAAGTGATCTCTTTCCTGATTTTCTTGAAATTCCTTGGATGGTGGCAGCGGGTCCCCCAAAATCTGGGTATTGGATTTTGGGGGTAAGTTTTTGTACCAGAGCCTGTACAGGCAAGGTTTTGGAGTGCTCTTGTATGCCCCCAATTTCTGCATTCATCATGTAGAACAGAGTGGGGAACAGCCTTGACACCTGGCTTTGTGCTGCTTCCGGAAGTGGTCACTATGTGGCCACATGCTTCTGCATGGTGTGCACGGTCCATAGGCGCTGCTCCTGCAACTCCCACTGGCTGCAGATTCCTTCAGTTCCTGGAGCTCCGAAGAGCCATTCAGACTTTTAATGGCCTGGCAACCCTCGCTTCCCACACAGCAAGGCATGCCAGACTCACAGTGGGGCTCTGAGCCTTGAGGCTTCTTGCCATAGGCTGGATGAAATTAAACAGTAGCCAGGAACCTAGTGACAGGCTGTAAGTGCCCAATCCATGCCTTTTTGGCAGACTGGGCAGAGAGATCAGAGGTGAAAGTGCTAGAGGTAGTGAGCTCTTCTCCCATTCTTAAAGAAGTTTCCGCCAAGGCAGGTAGCGTTATCAGGTGGCTTAAAAAAAAATACTGGATACACTTGATCTCAGATGGGCGGGGGGGGGGACACCGGCCGGAGTGTGTGTGGGGAAACCGGCTGGCAGGAAGCTGGTCTGGCCGGGAGGGGGTCAGGGAAGATCGGGAGAAGGAGGGGGAAAGAACCGACCGCCAGGAAGCAGGGTTGGCCAGGATGGGGTTGTGGGGAGTGGGGCTGGCTGGGGAGACAGCGGGGGGAAAGAATCAGCTGGTGGGGAGTGGGGCTGACCCAGGCGCACTCAGATCTCGGGGCGCTACCCATCCAGTGCCTGGTCCTGGTGAAACTCAGGCGAGTCCAGCCCCAGGGATTCCCTCCTGGCCCCCTTTCCCCCCCACATAGTTGCGTATGTCTGTTATTTTCTTAATTTTTTTCCTGAACAGAACCCTCAAATACCGGACTGTCTGGTTCAAAACCGGACACCTGGCAACCCTAAAGGCAGGGGTGGGCAAAAGGGCCTCCATGGGCCGGATCCAGTCCACCAAGTGAGTTGATCCGACCCACAGAGGTCCTGCTGCTCCCCCCTTCTGCCCCCAGGCCAATCAGGCCTGGGTGTAGGGGGAGTGTGCATAGTGTCCTCATGCCCTGCCCCTGCCCTGCAAGGAGTGCGTGGCACTTAGAAGCACTGCACACTCCTAGCAGGGTGGGAGGATGTTCCTTGCAGGGCGGGGACAGGGCGGGAGGAGACTTTGCGCACTCGCCTTTGCCCCTGCTCCTAGGCCAATCAGGGCTTGGAGGCACCTGAAGTCTACTCCTGCCCTGCGAAGGGCTCAGCACTTAAAGTCACTTGACTCTAAACACAGCGCTCCCTTGCAGGGCGGGGGCTGCAAGAGACTTACATTGCTCCCCATCCCAGGCCCTGATTGACCTGGAGGCAGCAGGGGGGAACACATGAAGTCTCTTCCCACCACCATAGGCACAGGTACCTAGAGGGAACCGCCAGCTGCTCGGAACAGTTGGCGGTTCTCTTTCGGGGGCGGGAGGCAAAGACTTTGTGTGCTCCCCAACCCCAGACCAATCAGGGCCTGTGGGTGGGAAAGCAAGAAGTATTCTGACCCTGCCCTTTTGGGGCGGCCCAAAAATTATTTTCCACTCCTGCTCCAAGGCCTGGTTGAGTCATGCTGGCATCACTGCAGTGCATCAACTCTTCGTGGCCGGTAGATACAACATTTATCCATTTAAAACAGAGTGGAAAATTACTGTGAAAACAGATCTGTTAATTGAATGCAAGGGAAGTGACAAGCAGCCCCGAGTGAGTGGGGATGGTCAGAAGCAGACCATTGCAATATGCCATGCCAAACTGTCCATGTCCTCGTTATGTCTTTTAGGAGTATGAGGCGAGGCTGGCCCAGCTGAAGGCAGACTATGAAGCTGAGCAGGAGTCGCGCGCCCGACTTGAGGAGGACATCAATACCATGCGAACTTCCTACATCCTCAAGCTGTCCAGTCTGGAGGAAAACCTTAGGAAAGAAGCAGGTAGGAACAGGGAAAATCTATAGAAGTCTTATCTCTGGAAGGGAGGAGACCAGAGAGCAGAGAGGATGTAACCCAGTGGACTAACAACTGTATTCAATAGAACTTTACAGTTTGGGCCACCACAAGAGCACTTAGCTTCAATAAAATATTTGAACTGCAAAGATGACAGGTCCCATCAAGCATTGCTGTACAATAAGCTACTTGGTTTGGCACAAGCTACACTACTGTGCACAATATGCATCAATCTTCTCCATTATATGTGAATTAGAAGTGCCCCTTCAACGCTTGGTCAGTAGTCAACATGGCCTGTCAACTAGGCAAAGTTTGGGGATTCCTGTGAGAATTGCGACTTGCTGCAGCCATGCTATAGTATTATCCTTATTTGTTTTCAGTGCTGCTTAGGAGCAAGTTGAGCTAGCTACTGACTGTACCCCAAAGAGTTCACTATAGTAGTTCTCTTACCCGTGTTCACAGTAGTTGATTGACTCAGACATTTTATAACTCAAAATGATGATTTTTCTTTGATCATAAACCCCCATCCCTAGAGACATAGTTTTATCATCCTTGGGGAAAACTGCTGTTTTCATGCAGGATGGTATCTGGGTCTCATGGTTTCTCCTGAACAGGGTGGGGTGGCAAATGGCAGCTGTTTTGCACACTAATATGTTGTTAGCACAAATATTGGGTGATATTTTCATGCTGTAGTCCTGCAGAGCTCATAGCTAAAAGTTCAGGGTGTTTTCTCCTGTGTTCCAGATGCTGTCCTGAGGGTTGAAACCCTCCCTGACCAGGCACCTTTGTCTTCAGGCCTTGTTGTCACCATCACAGAAACAGAACAAGTGTCCAACAAGGTACTCATCAGAACAATGCTACTTATTGGACAAAAGGAACAAATCTAGCTGCCTGTCCACTATGTCTATGAGGTTCATGAATACTCATTGAAGGATATATTTATCTAGCCATGGTGCAGCTGCTTCTGGGGTGGAACATGGCAGCTGTTTAACAGTGCATAGCAGAACTAGTAGCATAAGAAATTAAGAATCACACAGCCAATTGAAAATATACAGGGAAATAGAGCTTTCCCAGTGCCAAAACCAGATTCCAAGCATTACCATATCCCTGAGGGTAATGTGACAATCTTAGTGGCTTGTGCTGCAGTGGAAAGTAGCAAAATGACGTTCTTCAGCGAGTGGTGTCCCTGTGGGTGCTCCACTCAGGTCTCAGTGGGTATGTCTAGACTACATGGCTCTGTTGCTAGAGCCATGTAGATTAGTTTACTAGACATACCCAAATGAAGCGGCGATTTAAATAATCGCTACTTCATTTAAATTAAAATGGCGGCTGCGCTGAGCCGATCAGCTGTTTGTCGGCTCAGCACGCTAGTCTGGAAGCTCCGCGGTCGACATCAAAGGCATTTGTCAACCGCCCCGGTAAACCTCATCCCACGAGGCATAACGGGATGATCGACAAATACCTTTGATGTTAACCGCAGAGTGTCCAGACTAGCGCGCTGAGCCGACAAACAGCTGATCGGCTCAGCGCAGCAGCCATTTTAATTTAAATGAAGCGGCGATTATTTAAATTGCTGCTTCGTTTGGGTATGTCTAGTAAACTAATCTACATGGCTCTGGTGACAGAGCCATGTAGTCTAGATATACCCACTGAGACCTGAGTGGAGCACCCACAGGGACGCCACTCGCTGAAGAACGTCATTTTGCTACTTTTCACTGCAGCACAAGCCACTAAGATTGTCACATTACCCTCACGGATATGGTAATGCTTGGAATCTGGTTTTGGCACTGGGTATCAGTGTGTCTTTGCACTGCCGATCAGAGGTTTTTGGTGAGCAGTGCCCCTTGCGCCACACCTACGCACCCAGCATCTTGCACCCCTGCCGTTCATCGAGTGCGTGCGCAGCATGAGCCCCGTCAGTTCATTTTCTACCATCCTTGGCTGAAGACAGAGTCAGAACAGTGCTCTTCTTCCCAGCAGAAAAACAAGAAAAACCTTTTCCTCATAATTTAGTCAATTATAGTTAGCTTTAACGTATAGTGTTAAAAAAAAGCAAGCACCACCGCGCGGCTTTTCTTCTTCTGCATGCCGGGTTCCCCCGGCTTTAAAAGATGCAACTCATGCCGAGACTCAGTGCCTATTTCTGGTGGCAGGCCTCATGTGTTAAATACCTGGGAGAGTCTCATGCAGCACACAAGAGCCCTCACTGTCAGAACATGACAGCCAGAGCCAGAAAAGACTACAAAATGCGGCTTAAAAACCTCCTCTGGGAGAAGGTCCTACAACATACGCAGGACAAACCTGAGGACATACGGGGACAGCAGAAGCCTGCTGACAGGGCTGCTTCACCACTCTGCAAAGGCTCACAAGACTCATAGGCTTCCCCGGCATGCTCATGCCCAGAGCCTCTTGTTCCCCGGTGCCACCAGTCTCTGGCAATGCAAGTCTGAACTAGCCAGGAGAGCTGAGTCAGAACCTAAGCGCACCACACCAGTCGGTGCTGCTAAGGCAGCAGCACCCACAAAGCCGCATATGCCACCACCACCAGCTCCTACAAGTGCCTCTACGGTGCCTGAACAAACTGGTTAGACCGAACTTGATTACGTTCTGGTACTTCAGCATAAAAAAGCACTGCACAAGATGCAGCACTTACAAAAATCTCCTCAGGCAGGCACACTGCTCACATCAGGATCTTGCTCACCATGCTCCTCAGTGGTCTTTCATACCCAGGGGCACACTTATATTCCAGAAAGGGTTCCCCACTCTCCTACGCTGCTTTCACCAAGAACTGATTATGGCAGCAGGTATAGGAGCAGATTTTCATCATGCCATTCATCTCCGTCCAGGTTAATGGCCTCCTGGAATTTATATCGGGATCATTCCCTACAACACCACCCCATGTGGTCCAACCAACCACGGATGTATCCCCCACAAGAGTTCCAGACTCAATGGGCCCTCTGGAAACCATGGCAAGGGTAAAGGCCACCTTTCTCCCATGGCTATTACTCGAGATACAGTGCCTAAAGCACAACAATACACTTCTGTGCACTCCCCAACCATATCTGTGCATTCCTTACTGTCTCACCCGCCCTCAGTAATGTCATAAGCGGGTTCCAATGATAACGATAACTTACCTCATTCAGTCTTGGAGGGTTCCTCACACGACCCCAGATCCACTAGACTAGACTGAGCAGTCTTTCAAATATCGCCCTCTCCACTGGCAGATGATTTAAAACAATTTCAAGAATTATTCAGTCACAAGACATTACACTCCAACAGGTACAAGCCAAACAATACAAATTACTGACAATACTACAACCCATGGCATCCTCAAAGATAGTCCTACCCATCAATGAAGCTATCCTGGTGCCATCAGACATTCTGTGGCAAAATCCAGCATCTATCTCCCCCACAAACCGCTGGGTGGATAGAAAATATTTTGTCCCTGCAAAAAGATATGGACTTCCTCTTCACACATCCCCAGCCAAACTCACTGGTTTTAGATTCAGTTAATCATAAGGCTAAGAACCCACAATTTAAGTCTATACCCCACAACAAAGAGCATAAGCTGCTTGATATCTTTGGCTACAAAGTGTACTCTTTTGCCACCCTCCAATTCAGGATGTCAAATTATACAGCCCTCCTGACCAACTACCATCATGCCAACTATGCCAAACTACAGGACCTGCTGCAGGACCATCCTGACATTAAGAGACCGCACCTTCAGTCCATCATTAAGGTGAGGCTAGAGCCACTGCCACAGCCATCGTAATGCATAGGGCCTCGTGGCTACAGTCATCAGAGGTCCCAAAAGAATTGCAATCGAAGGTGGAAATCCTCCCCTTTAATAGAAAACAGCTATTTGCCACTAAGACAGATGAGGTCCTACACTCAAGGAAGGACTCTCGGACCACACTCCTCACTTTGGAGGTGTACACCCTACCTAGTAAGAAACGCAAGTACCCCACATACCAAAGGCCAAGGGACTATAATTATAATTATTACAGGCAAAACCAAAAGCCATATGACAACAGGCCTAAGCAACGCCTGAACAGGAGGAGGACGCAGCAAAATCAGCCCTCCACTCAATTGACCTCATACAAGCAACAAATTTGAAGTCGTGGTTGGGGCGACCACCCCACAGTTCCAGTGCATTCCAGTGCCACCTTTCATCACCACCTGAAACCAACAGTGGGCCCAAATCACTACAGACAAATGGGTCCTGGAAATTATCAAATCAGGTTATACAATCCCCTTCACATCCATGCCCCCTACCCAATCCCCTACCCCGTCCCTCTTCAGGGACCCATCTCACGAGCCCATATTACAAGCAGAGATGCAAAAGTTGCTCACCCTAGGGGCAATAGAACCCATTCCTGCAGAATATCGAGGAAGAGGGTTCTACTCCAACTATCTCCCAACAGCCAAAAAGATGGAGATGGAGACCAATCCTGGATCTCAGGAAACTCAACAAGTTCATCCTCAACGCAAAATTCAGGATGGCAACCCTGGCAACTATCATACCTGCACTGGACAAAGAGGACTGATTCTCAGCCCTCAACCTCCAAGATGCATATTTTCATGTAACCATACACCTGGCCCACAAGAGGTTTCTCAGATTCATTGTAAGTCAAGACCATTACCAGTACAGGGTACTCCCCTTTGGTATCTTTACAGCCCCTCAAGTGTTCTCCAAGATGCTAGCTGTAGTCACAGCCTTCCTCAGAAGACAGTATGTTATCATCTTCCCTTACCTCAAAGACTGTCTTATCAAGGGCTTCACTCGTCAACAAAATATAACTATGACAACCGCTACCAGAGAATGTTTTTTCTGCATTGGCCTGCTTATCAATATACAAAAGTCCACCATACAGCCCACACAAAGATAGAATTTATCAGGGCACTCCTAGACCCAGTATCAGCAAGTGCCTACCTGCCATCAAAAAGATTTAAGGCAACCTGTGACCTCATTTGGGGAGTCAAGCAGACGCCTTTTTCCGAAGTCTGGACCTGCCTCCAATTATTGGAGCGCATGGCGGCCACAACCTTCATGGTCCTATTCGCGAGGCTACACATGTGCTGCCTACAGAATTGGCTCACAACTACCTATATCCCAATCCGACACAGCCTCGTGAAGCACCTCACGCTTCCTCCACCCATACTGCAATCTCTTGACTGGTGGACTTCTCCAACCAACATACTTGCCGGTATACCCTTCCACCGCCCAGATCCATTAGTAACTATAACGACAGACACTTATGAGTTGGGGTGCCCATTGTGGTGCGAAGTCAATACAGAGCACATGGTTCCAATGGGAAAGACACTTCCATATCAACATCCTGAAACTCAGGGCCATTCACAATGCATGCGCCCGTTTTCTTTCTCTAATAAAGGGCAGGACCATTCGTGTCCTCATGGATAACACACCCTCTATGTTCTATGTCAACTGACAGGGGAGTGCCCAATCACACTCACTATGTGCCAAAGCAATCAGATTTTGGAACTGGTGTATCAGGAATCAAATAACTCCAACCCGCCACATATATACCGGGATAGCAGAATATGAGGGCCGACAAGCTGAGCAGATGCTTCTCAGACCAACACGAGTGGGAGATCAATACCAATATTCTCCTCTCCGTTTTCTGCAAATGGGGTTTTCCAACTATAGACCTTTTTGCAACACCACTCAACCGCACATGCCACAAGTTCTGCTCCTGTCATAACCATGAGAGATGGCCAGCAGCCTGGGAACTAAGGGGTTAACCTAGTCAGGTATCTGGTCAGCCAATGGTAAGGCAGGTAGAGATTTCAAACTGGGACAAAGGGATTTTTAACTTTTTCCCCCTTCGTCTGAGTCAGAGCAGTTTCTTCCAAGTAACAAGGAGATGGGAAGGCCTGTCTCCCTCCAATAAAAGTCTCCTCAAAATGTATAAGTAGGGCAAAGTTAGATCATCCGTCAGGTTTTATTATTTTTCTGGTTTGAGACTGTGGAAATGATGTCTGTGTTGCTAAAAGTGGTTTTTCCTCTCTTTTGTAACTAAGTCCTGAGCCCAGGGGATTCCCCTGAATATCTAGATTAATTGGTGGCTCTTTTCATCTAGCCACGTTATATTGTGGGCAACTATGGTTTTGTTTTGATAATAAAAGTTTGTTTTCTTTTTTTAATTAACCTGGTATTGGTTCATTTCTGTGTCCTGGAAAATCTGTCTGTGGATATCTGCTTGCCTCTGACCAGGGGACAGCTACCACAGACTGCAGCTTGTATTTTCTTTTTTCTTTTTCAAGCTCTTTGGGGAAAAGAGCTTGAGGTATCCCTGAAGTTTTTAGGGAGGAGATTTCCCAAGTGATCTCTTCCCTTGTTTTTCTTGGAAGGTTGGCAGCAGTTTTCTTGGGGTGCTGGCAGCGGTTTTCTTGGGGTGCTGGCTGTGGTTTTTATACTCCAGAGTCCAGGTATTAGGATTTTGGGGGAGTTTTTGTACCTAAGCCTGAAGAGATATGGTTTTGAGGTGCTTTTGTGGGCCCCACTTAAAATTCCTTTGTCCCAGTTTGAAATCCCTACCTGCCTTACCATTGGCTGACCAGATACCTGGCTAAGTTAACCCCTTAGTCCCCCGGCTGCTGGCCATCCCTCATGGTTATGACAGCTCCCGTGCAGAATTGGGCAAGAGGTCAGAGGGGGATGCCTTCACCATGCGCTGGACGGCTCCCCTACTCTACGCTTTTCCACCAATCCCTCTTCTCCCCAGGGTGATCAACAAGATCCAATTCGACCAGGCCACAGTAATTTGAATAGCCCCCGCCTGGCCGAGACAACCCTGTTTCCTTTACCTACACTACCTGTCAATAGACCAACCCGTTCCCCTCCCGCTGTGCCGAACCTCCTGATGCAGCACCATGGCAGGACATGCATCTGAACATCAAAACCTTGAAACTCACGGCATGGCTTCTCCATGCTTCTGGAATGAAGAACTTACCTGTTCAGACAGGGTCAGACACATCCTACTGAACAGTTGATGGCCCTCCTCGAGAAGGGCACCCTTTGAACAATCGTTCACGACATGCAATTTACATCCCAATACTGTTCCCAGTACCGTACTATAGTATCTCATGGACCTCAGTGACATGGGTCTCTCCATCAGCTCTATCCAGGTCCACCTGGTGGCGGTCCCGGTGTTCCACGAACCTGTGGACGACTACTCTCTCTTTGCATATCCAATGGTGAAAAGATTTCTTACAGGCCTGCAGAAAACACACCCAAACCTGTGCCACCTGGTGCCACCGTGGGACCTGAACTTGGTCCTCAACACACTCACCAGGTCACCCTTCGAGTTACTACCCACTACACCACCACAATATGTATCTATGAAGGTGGCCTTCATACTGGCAATAACATCAGCAAGATGGGTAGGTGAAATTGCAGCCCTCATGGCAGATCCACCTTTCACCACCTTTACCAGGGATAAAGTGATACTCAGGCCCCACCCTAAGTTCTTCCCGAAGGTCATATCCAACTTCCACTTAAATGAACCTATTCATTTACCTGCTTATTTTCCTAAATCTCATACCTCCTCCAAGGAAGCCATACTCCACATGTTAGATGCAGGGCGGGCGATTGCGTTCTGCCTGGAGAGAACTAAGGCAACCAGGAAATCAGACAAACTCTTTGTAGCGTGGTCTGGACCACATACAGGAACAGCTGTCTCCGCACAACTTCTATCCAAATGGATTGCCGGATGCATTTGTACAGTTTATGAACTTTATGGCAAGCAGCCACAATAGACTATCATGGCTCACTCTACCCATGTGATGGCCACAACAACGGCCTTCCTAAACAACGTACCTTTAGGGGACATCTGTAGAGCAGCCACATCGTCCTCCCATCACTCTTTCGCACGGCATTATGCCCTGCAGAAGAGGCCAATGCCCTCCACATCTCTAGCAGATGCAGTCCTTCCTTGCTCTATATAAATGACTCCAATGCCCACTACCATCTGGCGGGTACTGCTACTGAGTCACCTGAATGGAGCAGGGGCGCAAGATGCTAGGTGCATAGGTGCAGCACGAGGGGCACTGCTCACCAAAAACCTCCGATCGGCAGCACAACAATGCACCTAGACATGAGTGGAGCACCCATAAGCACACACATCTCAAAGAACCCTGGTTACTGCACACGGTGAGTAACTTCTTCTTCCTTAGGCTATGTCTACACTACAGAGTTTTTTCAGAAAAACAGCCATTTTTCCAAAAAAATCTTGAATTACATCCACACTGCAATTATGTTCTTTTGAAAAATAATCAAAAGACTGGAGGGATTTTTCTGACGTTGATAAACCTCTTTCTATGAGGAAGAAGCCTTTTTCCGAAAAAGCTCTTTCGGAAAAAGGCATGCGTGGACAGAGAAGAGGGTTTTCTTTCAAAAGAAGAGGCCTTCAGGAAATAACACATGACCTGGTGGCCACTCCATCCAAAGTAATTAGGGTATGTCTACACTACCACCCTAGTTCAAACTAGGGTGGTTAATGTAGTCAATCGAAGTTGCAAATGAAGCCCGGGATTTAAATATCCCGGGCTTCATTTGCATCTTGCCGGGTGCCGCCATTTTTAAATCCCCGCTAGTTCGAACTCTGTGCCCGCGGCTACATGCGGCACGGAGTAGGTAGTTCGAATTAGGCTTTCTATCCCTCCCCTCTTCCCCCCAGGGAGGAAGGCCTCCCCTTTTCTCTCCACAATGTTGTGGAGGACACAACATGCTGACACTACCTCGGGGATGTTGTCCAGGCACACACGACCTGAATCCTGGCCTGGTTCAGGTGGGCATTAAATTAGTCCCTGCTGGGGTCCAGGTGGCCGGTATAAGGCTTCATTAGCCATGGCATTAGGGAGTAGGCCGCATACCTCACAGTGCACAATGGCATCTGCACATCCCCAACCACAAAATCCCAGTGGGGGAAGAATGTGCCTGCCTCCAGCTTCCCGTAGAGGCTGAAGTTCCGAAAAATATGGGCATCATGTGCCTTGCCCGACCATTCAACAAAAATGTCCGTGAACTGTTCACGGTGGTCGACCAGGGCCTGCAGTCCCATAGAAAAGTAGCCCTTGCAATTGATGTACTGAGCCACTCTATGTTGAGATGCGCGGATTGGCATGTGGGTCCTATCAATCGCTCCGCCACAGTTCAGGAACCACAGGGCAGCAAATCCAGCCAGGATGGAGTTCAGGTCTCCTAAGCAGATGACCCTCTGCATCTGGATGGAGTTGATGGCCCTCACAACCTGCAGAAGGAGACAAACCAACATACAAAACAGAGAATGAGAGAGGGGGTGCCTGAGCCCTTGGAAGGTGCTCACCCCCATCTTTTCCCTCCTCCCCAAAAGACCCCAGAAGCCACCCTCTATGAGGCCAAATCCCCAGCAGCAGGGCTTTTTGAGGGCAGGGCGGCACAACCCCCCAGGGATGGGGCTTCCGCTCCACTCCCCAATTCACCCCCCACCACTTTATGACCAGCAGGTCCCACCAGTTGGAACTGGTGTCTTACCTCCAGAAGTGCCTTTTCACTGACGGTTGCGGTTGCAAGGGTGTTGCTTCTGCATGCAGGGAAAGGGTCCCAAGAATGAGCTCGGGTTCAAGCTTGGTCAGGACCAGGAAGGCAGCTGGCACAAAGTGCTGCAGAAACCACAGCATGGCCATGTGGGGCCATCGCATGCCCAGAGGCAGCTCCAGCTCCATGGCACAAAGAAAAATGCTGTGGAGTCCAAAAAAGCCGAGCAACCACAGCACACACTGCCAGAGCTTTGCTGTCCCTTGAAGAGGTAGGCAAGCATGCACAGAAGCAGCAAAATGGCTGTCCGGGGGGTCCCTTTAAGCGAGTGTCCCTGCAAGGCTCCGGCACCAGCACTTGGAAGCAACTGGTGACCTAAAGCCCTTTCTGAAGTGGTTCTAGGTGGCCTTTTGTGCGAGAGAGCATTCAGTCAGTCTGGATAATATCTTTCGAAAAAGCAGATCGCTTTTTTGATGCTCTTGGCCAGTGTGGATGCTCTCTTTCAGAAGAAATGTTTTCAGAAGATCCAAAAGAAGCCTGCAGTGTAGACATAGCCTTACCATGGTCCATGAGCAGCCCCACAATGGTACAGTTTCCTGCTTCATCATGTCTCTTAATACACATGCTGCATGATTCCAGAACAGCTGTCTTTAGTTGTCTTTTGCCCTCAGGACACAGCTGAGCCTCAGATAGCCCAGTACATTGGGAGTGTGACCAGAGAGACTCCTGGAGCAGAAGTGGCTGTTGCTGCTGAGGAGGTGCAAGTGGCTGTAGACAAGCAGCAAGTGCTTGCCAGGTCAGTAACTGTGTCTCTGAGACAGTAGAGTTCATTCTGTTCCTTCTAGCGTGGGCAGTTTGCTTAGTGCTGTACAAAACAGAATATGTGTTTTCTGCCCCACAAGGAAGTTCCAATCTTAGATTAATAGAATCATAGAACTAGAAGGAAACTTGAGAGATCATCAAGTCCAGTCATCTGCACTCATGACAGGACCAAGCACCATTTAGATCATCTGACAGTTTGTTTGTCTAATCCACTCTTTAAAATCTCCAACGATGGAGGATTTCACAACGTCCCTGGGCAATTTGTTCTAGTGCTTAACCACCATGATAGAAAGTTTTTCTTAATGTCCAATCTAAACCTCCCTTGTTGCAATTTAAGCCCATTGCTTCTTGTCATGTTCTCAGCGGTTAAGAAGAACAATTTTCCACCCTACATTGCTGAGGTTGAATGAGTCACAGGGTACTGCACCTCCATCCATAGTTAGACGTGATTCTCATCCATCAGGTAGAACAGAAGGTTTATTAGTCAACAGGGACACAAACAGACTTGTCAGCACAGTAACCAGAAGTAGTCAAGTACAATCCATCTTGGGGAGGGGGCTCAGAGATAGGCCCCTGACCCCCCTGCTGTACCCCAAGCCACCTGAGACTGAGGCTATATCTACACTACCAAGAAAAGTCGGGAAAAGATACACAATTTGTGTATCTTTTTCTGCTTTTCTTCTGAAAGAGGCTCTACACGGGGCCAAATGTCGAGAAACCTCTCTTTTGGAACATCCCTTCTTCCTTGTGAAACGAGGTTTACAGGGATGCCAACAAAACACGTCTGCTTTTCTGACATTTTCTTCAGAAAAGTGGACACATTCCTTGGACGTGGCAGAGTTTTTCTGGGAAGCCTCTGGTATCCCAGAAAAGCTCTGTAGTCTAGACATACCCTAACTCACATGCCTACCCGCCTGCTCCAAGCCCCTCCTCCAGTCTTTGTCTTGTTTCCTGGGCAAAAGTCATCACATGACCATACCCTCTCCTGGGCTCAGGTTATAAAGGGCATTGGCCATAGTGCCCCAGGAAACTGGAGCACACACACACAGGGTTACTATAGGATAGTAGAACTCACATGCAACATAATAAAGCAAATACAATCCCCACTCCATCACATCCTCCTCCTGTAACAGCTTTTTAGATACTTGAAAACTTTTATCTGTCCCTGCTCAGTCTTCTGTTTTCCAGACAAAACAAACCCAGTTCTTTCAATCTACCCTCAGAGGGCATGTTTCTTCTTCGAGTGGTGGTCATGTGGCGTGTGTGTCCACGGTATCCAGCCCTGGCCTATCCTTCATCAATCTAGTGGGGCTACAAAGGGCTCTCCTGTCTGAGCATGCTGGAGATCGGGAGCATCAGTTGACAATGCAGCAAATGGTGACTTCCCCCTATGGCAGAATCCAGCTGATGCTGAAGAAAGTGGTTCCAGCATCTTTAGTACTTTCTGTGCTGCCTGCAAAGCCTCCAGCATGGAAGGGACTTACACGTCCTGAACCAGCAGTGGAGAGTAGGCAGGGTTGCTATGGTCATCATGCACCGGCGTCCTGTCCCTTGGACAGTCTGCAAGGCAGTTGGCCTTCTTTGCCTTCTTGGGCTTTTTCTTGCAAGGTGCGGGGGACTTGCCCTTACCTGTCTTCTTTGCTGTCTTAGAATGAGCAACAGATGATGCCCGGTGCTGCACCGATGGCACCGGGAGAGTGCTCCGTACCAAAGGCCTGGTGCTTGGAGCCAGATTGGAGAGATGATCCTATGAAGCAAAGAGCGACTCCATTAGCAGGGTTTTAAGAGACCTGGCCCTATCTCTAACTGTTCTGGGGCTGAAAGACCTGAGATGCTACACTTTCTGGAGATGTGTGATTCTTCGAGACATCAGAGGCAGTCAGCATGTGAGTCGCTAATTGGCATGGGCCTGTGACACACAGCACAAGTTTTAAAGCCAGGGGATCAGGACATACCCCGTCCCTGGGATAAGTCCCTACAGAGGACTAATGAACAATTAAACTCAACTATTTACACTAACTTAAACTAAGCTAATTTATTGTTGAATAGAGGGAGTAACTACAGCTAAAGCTGGAAGAACGTGTTCCAAACACCATCAGTGGTGGCAAGAAGGAGCTGGGGAGGGGAGGAATTCAGTGCACACCACTCCAGGGGGCACTGAGCCCAATCCTCTATGCAGGCCCTCTCAGGGTATGTCTACACTACAAAGTTAGTTCGAACTAACGGACGTTAGTTCGAACTAACTTTCATAGATGCTACACTAGCGCTGGAGCGCTTAGTTCAAACTAGGTAATCCTCATTCCACGAGGATTAAGCCTAGTTCCAACTTCCTGTTCGAATTAAGGGCTGTGTAGCCCCTTAATTCGAACTAGTGGGAGGCTAGCCCTCCCCAGCTTTCCCTGGTGGCCACTCTGGCCAACACCAGGGAAACTCTTCTGCCCCCCTCCCGGCCCCGGACCCGTTAAAGGGTCACGGGCTGGCTACGGTGCCCGTGCCAGGTGCAAGCCTGCCAGCACCCAGCCAGCACACCCTGCACCTGGCACAGATCAAGCCACCCACCCGATGCCCCCCAGCCCTCCCCCTCTTCCCGGGACCAGGCTGGCGGCCCGGGAGCTTGCCCGGGACCGCAAGAGGTGGGCACCCGCCTGGGCTACTGCAGACATCGTGGACCTCGTCCACGATCTCCCCACTAGGCACAGGAAAGTGGCCGTCTAGGGCAGGAGAGCTGCCAGCCTGGCCACCCAGGAGCAGGTGTGCAAGAGAATCAAGGGGGTCCACTGAGCCCCCCGACCCTGAGCCCTGAGCTTACAATGGCCGTACTGGGTCAGACCAAAGGTCCATCTAGCCCAGTAGCCTGTCTGCCGACAGCGGCCAACCCTAGGGACCCTGGAGGGGATGGACTGAAGACAGTGACCAAGCCATTTGTCTCGTGCCATCCCTCTCCAGCCTTCCACAAACCTTGGTCAGGGACACCACTCCTATCCCCTGGCTAATAGCACACCATGGACCCAACCTCCATGACTTGATCTCACTTCCCTTTAAACTCTGTTCTAGTTGTAGCCTTCACAGCCTCCTGCAGCAAGGAGTTCCACAGGTTGACTCTTTGCTTTGTGAAGAACAACTTTCTGTTACTAGTTTGAAGCCTGCTACCCATTCCTTTCCTTTGGTGTCCTCTAGTCCTTCTTTATGGGAACTAATGAAGAACTTTTCTGTATGCACCCTCTCCACCCTACTCATGCTTTTAGAGACCAATATCCTGTCCCCCCTCCGTCTCCTCTTTTCTAAGCTTAAAAGTCCCAGTCTCTTTAGCCTCTCTTCATATGGGACCTGTTCCCAACCCCTGATCATTTTAGTGGCCCTCCCCTCTCCCCGCCTCTCTCTTCCCCTCTTCCACCTCCTTTTCCCAGTCTCCCCCAGTTTTGTTCAATAAAGACAGATTCCATTTTTGAACACAATTGTCCTTTATTTTGTACATCAAGAAGAGTGGCTAGGGAAGGGTAAGTGGAAGGAGGTGAGGGAGGAATGGGGTACGCGCCCCCGATGGGGAGGACTGGGCTGGCTCTGCGGGCTTTTGGGGTGGAAGCTCTCCTGCAGCCCCCCAATTGCCCTCTCTCCCCGGATGGCAGCCTGTGGCAAGTGCAGCCAGGCTGATGGCCGAGTGGTGTGATGTGCCCAGTGGGGGTACTCCGGGCAATCCAAGCCAGGACTGCTTTGCAAGCGGGGCACCCTGAGAACTGTCTGTCTGGGGTGGGGGTCGGGACCCTTTAAGCACAGCCCTCGGCTAGCCTGAGACAGCATCTCCACACTCTAAGTCCTCCGCTGATGCCCTGCCGGCACTGCTTCCGGCCATCCTTAAGCCTGGTTCAGGGTCCACTTAGTGTGGACATGCTAGTTCGAATTAGCAAAACGCTAATTCGAACTAGTTTTTAGTTCTAGATGCGTTAGTTCGAATTAGCTTAGTTCGAATTAACTAATTCGAACTAAGTTAGTTCGAATTAACGTTGTAGTGTAGACGTACCCTCAGAGAATGACAGAGGCCCAGGCCACTTTGAGTTTAGAGGCCTCAGCCCAGCCCCAGGCCTCTGACATATCTAACTTCTCATTCACAGGGTCATACTAACACTAAAAGAATATATGAAAATGAATACTGGAGACATTTATTTATTAACAGTTAAGTCATCATGCCAATAGCATGTATATTAAAAATGTAACTTTAATTGTGAGTTTCCACTGCAAGCATAACCCTTCATTTTAGAATGCTTTTCTGGCTTTGTTGTTTGCAAACTCATTGATAAAAGAAAAATCTAATTTATGTGCAACATCACTGTTAATGTTAAGTATTGTGAGCCCATTCAAACACTCTTGTCCCATTGTAGAATACTTGTTTTAACATGTTAAATGTGCATTCACCTGAAGCCATTGATGCAGGGAGACTGACAAAAATAGGTAATGCAATTGTGATATTAGGAAATATAGTTGATAGGCCAAGATTATTTCTTGAAGCATTTCTTTTGGCTTGCAGTCCGATTTAAAGCTGATGGAATGTATACGTTTCAGGAAGTTGACCTCGTCTCAGAGAGCTCTTGAAATTTCATTGTTGTACCTTAGTTGAAACTGTTCAGCTGCTGAATATAGATCTCCATCGCTTAGTTCTCTGAACTCCCAAAGGAATCCAAAAAGGATAGAAATTTGTTGCAGTGACTCAAATTGATGTATGAGACCAGATTTGATGGAGTCAATAACAAAACACCACATAGACTCAACAGTGCCTTTCTGCATCAGATTGAGATGTTAGGCTGTGATTAATGGAAAACTCAGATGAAATGTCAATATACTGTGCTACTGATTTGGATTCAGAAGGGATTGTGTCCCATTGATTACAAATCTTTTGAATATCTTTAAGAGTGTTACTCCTCTCAACATCTACTGTAGTATTGCATCCTTCAATTACAAGATTAGTTTCTTGGATCATTT